TAGCGATGGCCTCCAACCTAATAGCGATAGCCTCCAACCTACTAGCGATGGCCTCCAACCTGATGACCTCCAACCTGCTAGCAATAGCCTCAAACCTAATAGCGATGGCCTCCAACCTACTAGAGATGGCCATTGCTAGTCTCTTTAAGGTTCGACTCTACCACTGCGAGTGGAAAATCAAGGAACCTACCTGCGTGTCGGACATCTGTGGCCAGCAGCGCAGGCATCCTGCAGGTGTTCGCATCTCTTCAGTGCCTGGCAAATGAGATGTGAGATGAAGGCATGAATGAAGGAAAGCATAGTAGCGTCCTTGCTCCTAGTAGTAGCAAGGCCAGGAGCCCCTAGTAGGGTCCTTGTTCCTAGTAGTAAGGCCAGGAGCCCCTAGTAGCGTCCTTGTTCCTAGCAGTAAGGCCAGGAGACCCTAGTAGCGTCCTTGTTCCTAGTAGTAAGGCCAGGAGCCCGTAGTAGCGTCCTTGTTCCTAGTAAGGCCAGGAGCCCGCAGTAGCGTCCTTGTTCCTAGTTCCATTCTTTTTAGAAAGCTGAAACATTCAGTACACAAGTACAGCAACCGACCCATCTAGTGACCCGAAGTCCCTTTCCCACACTGAAGTATGTCCTCCCTCTCTCCGTAAGAACAAACATTGAGAAACATATCATGTACATGTGGTGGAGTCAACAATGAGTCACTGGTTTGTGCACATGTGCAGCACAAATGATGAAGAGTCAGGACGCCTGGCAAGTGAAGCTCCTCTCGTTCCACAGCCCCGGCAAAGGTCTGTTCTAGAAAGTCGCACCTCAATGGGAGCGATTCAAATCGCTCTCTCGATATTCCTTCCAGCCTAATAGAGATGGCCTCCACCCTAATAGCTGCTCCACATTTTACATTGTACATGCCTGTGCTAGTAGGTGAAGGGTTCTTACTTCTGGATGATACAACTGCAGGCTTCAAGTGTGGTCACTTCAATGCAAGATGCTGACAAAGCGCTTGATGCTGGCACTTGCCAGAATGTTCAAGACAGGGAGGAATCACACCCAAAGCATCCCAGTATTTCCTACCCTGTCCTACCCCCCACTCCCACATTGACATGGCCGTCGCTGACTCGGCTTGAGGTGTCCTAGCATCCGAACAAAACAAGCCTGCGTGCTTTCCAAAGCACACGTGCTCATTCTCCTGCACATTCAAAGTGCAGGTGCTGTAGACCAGGACTCCACCTACTTTCAACGCTTCAAAGGCAGAGCTGATCAGCTGCCGTTGCAACTTTGACCTCGTTTGGGCGCTTCTCATGAAACACCCCTTTGGAGACTTCGAGCACGTGAAACCCGCTTCTCGCTTCGAAATTTGCCAGGCTACTAGGAGCAAGGACGCTAGTAGGGGCTCCTGGCCTTACTACTAGGAGCAAGAAGCTATTAGTAGCAAAGGGCATTTCTACTAGTAACAAGGGCCACAAGGGCGCTACTAGTGTGTCAAGAAACTTCCACATCACGTAAGCCTCTCTTACTTTTTTTGGCGGGGTAGGCCGTGAAGAGGTGAGGTAGTAGCTAGAGGTAGCTAGTAGAAGCAAACGGTAGCTAGTAGCTATTAAGTAGGATACTACTCCATACAGCATGCAGGATAGCTCAGACCAATGATTTGGATCCTAGACTTTTAAGCTTAACCTGATAGATTGCTGGAGGCCATTGCTAGGTTCTTCAGACCTTAAGACGACCTCGTTCTTCCTTCCTTTCTTTTTCTTTTCGACCTTAAAACCGCCATGGTACAAGCCCTCCACGTAGCCAGGTGGATGTTGTAGCATCTCCATGGCACCTTCACGTCGCGTCAGAGACTCCCCACTGCAAGGAGCATCCAAAAGCACCTGGACATGATCTTGTTTCTACGTTCGCTTCTTGTTACTACTAGTAAGGCACTTGTTACTAGAAGCGATGCACTTGTTCCTAGTAGCTTATTGTTTCCTTTCCAGCGATCTCGTACATGTCTGTTTAAACCGTTTTACTGATGTCGAAGTGGTAAGGTAAGGAGCTAAGCAATTTGTCTTTGGGAATGGGCTCCTAGACTCTTAGGAAAACTGCGCTTTTGGACGCATGTTGTTTTTTTACAAAATATAATGTCTTTCCTTTCGTCAATGTAGCCGTCAAGCACCGCATCGAAGTATCCAGGCCAGCACTGGCCACATTGCCGACCGTCCATCTGTGTCACCGCCGCCTGAGACTGACTTGTCTCACCGTTGAAACAAGAGCGATGGCCTCAACCCAACCTACTAGAGATAGTCTCCAACATCCTCCAACGTAGTAGTGCTGGCCTCCAACCTACTAGCGATGGCCTCAACCCTAATAACAATGACCTCCAACCTACTAGAGATAGTCTCCAACATCCTCCAACCTAGTAGTGCTGGCCTCCAACCTACTAGCGATGGCCTCAACCCTAATAGCAATGACCTCCAACCTACTAGAGATAGTCTCCAACATCCTCCAACCTAGTAGTGCTGGCCTCCAACCTACTAGCGATGGCCTCAACCCTAATAGCAATGACCTCCAACCTACTAGAGATAGTCTCCAACATCCTCCAACCTAGTAGTGCTGGCCTCCAACCTACTAGCGACGGCCTCAACCCTAATAACAATGACCTCCAACCTACTAGAGATAGTCTCCAACATCCTCCAACCTAGTAGTGTTGGCCTCCAACCTACTAGCGATGGCCTCAACCATAATGGCAATGACCTCCAACCTACTAGAGATAGTCTCCAACATCCTCCAACC